ATTTTCCTATATGAAACCTCCAACCTGGGAGGAAACTTTTTGACTAAATGGCTTTGCCTTTGCAGCATAGCTGCAGCTGTCAAAATGGCATATTTTTGCGTTGTATGTATTCCACTTTGGAAGTATGCAAATTAGCTTTATCAGTAAAGTTTGAGGAGTCAACAAAGCTACAATAGTAACAGATGATACAACTTTATGTGGCACCTTATTGGTTTTGTTTCTTGAATTCCATCCTTGTCGACTAGGTAAAATCTTCCACATGAACAGACAACAAAATTCATCCTGATCACCAACTCAGCTAGTGTGGTTACTGAGCTCATACGAAGAGCCCTTACAACTTTGACTTTAATAATTTCAGTAAGATGAGGACGTCTGGTTTGTTTGACATATAAAATGTATTAGTTCCTTCACACTCTCCAAAATTAGTATATACCACACAAGTGAATAGTACTTTTTGCACAGGCTGATTGGCTAGCTCGGAGGTGATTAGCCAAGTACTATTCACCTCCAAGCATCGCACGGCGCACGAATTTTTTTGTCTGACCATTTGTCGGTATATTGTCACAAGTAAAGTTACTCTTTGGTCTGCTAGTTATTCAGCTTGTGTGGTATATACTAAAACAATGATTCACCTCAGTGTCAGTGAAAGTGGGGGATATTTACCTCCACTTCCGTGAATAATTGTTAATTATTCCTCTGGAAAAATACCTTTTAGAAAAAGATCATCCCATTCTCCTCTGCATTCCAGTGAGTTAATGTACGCCAAAACATAGTGAACTGGTACACACACTACTGATGTGCCTTTATAGCAATCCCACGGCCTCTCTCCTGCTCTTGCTGGTCGCTTTAGAATATCAACACCCCTGACGAAGCATCAACGATAAATAATATGATAAATAATATTGATTAAATAAAATATATGCACCATGCATCTTAACTACAAGCAAAAAATTATGATGCACACATTTAGAACATGAAAGCTTCTCCATGCAGTCAAGTTTACCAGTCAAGAAAGATTTCTCAAAAGCAAGTGTGGATAATGTGGTGACCTATTTGACTTATCAAAGCATTGGTCATCAGTTAATTTGTTAGTTTCTCTTTTTGCGTCTTCTGCAACCACAAAAATCAAAATTAATGGCACAATTAGACAGGCAATTAACAGGTGACATTGAGGCTCCTCTTCAAGTATATTAGTTTGCTTAAAACTTACATTTTTACTTGTAAACATTTGACAACTGTGTTACTCACCCTTAGGTAGTGAAAAAGACTAATATTAAAAAAACAAAAACAGTTTTGATTTTGAAAGGCATGTTTTGCCAGATCTTCTGTCTTTCAAAATCAAAACTGTTGATGTTTTTCTTACACTTATAATTTGACTACTACTGTCTGGACCTTTTCAAAAGGACTTACGTTTCACAACACTATCATCAATAACAGTGACTTACTTGATATTTCCAACAGTAATCCAGTTATCTGTCCCTTCTGTAGCCTCATATACCTCATTAAGTTTTTGAAGCAAATTCTCTGTACTTTGGCTGTAATTACACACGCAAGTTCATTTACCACCAACATAATATATATATTGTTAAATTTTGGCACTTCAAGGAAGGGAGCTTAAATATTAAATTCATATTTTATTATTGAAATTAAAGTTATGATGTTGGTATACATAGACTCGGTGTCACATAGCATTTCCTTTATAACAGCTGGCAACTCAGGTGCTCAGGCTACTTCATTCACATTTAAATGTCATTTTCAATTATACGAGTTATGTTTACTACATGCCGCCTAAGTACCTGCTTAAGAAGTCAGGAATGCAAGAGTCACTGGTAGTCCATTGGTTTCTCTGTATTTTATTGAGTGACAATGACAATAAATTAATCAATATGTTAAAACTGATTCAAATGCAATAGAAAATAATTAAAGGATTAAACACTGTATATCGTAATTGTGATTTTTAACTTCAGATAACAGAAAACACGTGAGATAACTGACAACTACACCAATAAATGTGTAAAATTCTTATGGCAAAATTCTACAGTTTTTAAAATGCTAAACAAACCTGTTTCAGCTAGGTTCTGGACTGAAAATTTTCAAAAACAATTATGTCTATTGATGATCCTTTTTTCAAAAGGACAAATAACAGTAGAAAATGTATTATTAACAGTATACTGGTGAAGTCCATGGTCAACCCCAAGATGTTTTTGGGCTAAAATGTGGGTTTCATCATTTCTCAATTAACCACTTCATAAAATTAATGGACTTGTCAGGTGAGTACAGTCATGTACATAGATGAAAAAACAATCTGCAAGGGTTTTCTTAACATTTTCAAGAGGAAGGCAACTGATTTTCACAGGCAGGCATTTTTTTTTTTTTTTTGAGCTGTATTTCTACATTCTACAAGATGTAAAATCAGGCAGGCAAAACCTCAATGGTACCGTCGGATATGGCAAAGTGGAAATTATCAGGCATTTAAACTAAAAGCAACTTTTGAAAGGTTAAACTTCTCCCTGATAAGATGTTTGAAAGAGAAAATATTAAATACCAGTTCTCATGATAATATTACTACTATTACTAAATATTAAATACCAGTTCTCATATAAATATACTCTCAGAATTAACTTGTAAATATTTACATGCAGTGAAGCTTCCTGTAGCTAGTCCATTTAATTTCTTGAAAGTGTTTTTTTTTCTTTTTTTTTTTTTCCGCTCTTAGCTTGATTAGCCTTAGCTATTTCTATGTGGCTGTGCTCTGTTTTTCATTGTTATTTTTTCACATTGCATGTATTTATTTTTATTGTAAAATTTTTCTGGGCACGAAATAAAGATTGTTGTTGTTGCTGTTGTTGTATAAGTTCATGTACTAATTTTAATTAATACCTTGTCTTTTTTCCTGGCCGTTTCTTTATGCTCCGTCATTTTTCCTGGTAAATCCACTTGGTCAATGTTACCTGATAGAATTAATTTTCCTGTGATATTACAGACAGCTATGAGGTATGTCATGAGCAACATATGTACAGTATAGACAAGACTTTTGCAACAACAGAAGAAAATACAGCAGTTGTTCATTTTTCAGGGGCAACAGCAATGTAATAAATAAATAGTCATCCATAATAGTGAATAATCACCCTTCAAATTTTAACTGGAGTATAATGCTAACCAGACATGGGGTATTTTAAATGAAGCACAACACTTGGTGTCCTGTGAAGCATGAACAGCACTCCACGGTTAGGCTGAAAAGTGCTATGGTTAAGCCTGAATGGCACACCAGTTGGCCTGTTTATGGTTAGTTCTCAATAGTTATATTGGTAACACAATAAATGCATCGTCACAAGTGGAAGAGTTTCCGACTGTTACAAAAGGAGTATTCTAAAAAGGCTTTCCATCTACTGGACATCTAGACACAGAATTTAAATTATGATGTTTGGAAAAAAAAAAACACTCACCTGACGGTATTGCAGAGTGAACTCTTAAATCCTTAACAAGATCATCACTTACAGATGATGAAAGAGTTGTGGAGCTGGCTTCTGAGCCAATAGACTTGGTAGGTGATTGGTCAGGTTTGTAGTGTGTGAAGAAATCTTGAAGACCTGCTACTCTAGATGTCGTTAACTGTGGTATTGATGCAAAACATTCTGATACAGGGGCTACAACCAAAGTTACTAAACTTTCAGTTTGTTCATCATCACCTGCAAACACATAGTTTTAATTATTTATCATCAGATGACTGGTAATAAAAAAGAAAAACATTACAAATATTTTGTTCATTATATTCTTATTACTTCTATGTCAGGGCTAACAACTAAAATTATATTATGAAAATTTACAAGTCATTTCAAACAAATAAGATTCAAATTCAAATTGTCAAAAGATATTTTTTACATAATGAACAGTCAGACTAAGGGGGGTGCACCACTAAGGAATGGCGCAACTGAATGGTGAGGTAATCATCTCAGAGAGGGGGTGCACTCCCCCTGCATCCTCCCCCTAGATCCGCCCCTGGTTGTCGAAACTTCAGTCACCAACAACAGTTCTTTTCAGAACTATCCTCACCCGGACGATCACACTATACAAACTACTGGACCAGGTACTCCTGGGTTTAAACCATTTACTATGTTCTGTTATAATAATGATAGTGAGAATTATCATTGCCCAAGTTTGTGTTATCTGCCAAAGCTAATGATTAATTAAAAACAATGAAATAAATCTCCTACCATTGTCTATTGATGACACTAAAAAGCAGGACCATAAAGCTCCTTCTGCTGGAATAACTTGCTCAATGAATGAACTCATAAACCAGGCTTGGGATCCTGACTTTGTATCTATATCCCAGTGTCTGTGTTTTCAAATTTCAAGCAAACGATCAGTTATTACTCAATACAATACAATACAATACAATACAATATTATAAAGTTGGGTAGATGATCTGGTGACCACTAATGTTCCCTCTGGAGATAAAATCAAGAGCAACTCAAGAATGCAAAGCAATTATTCTGTTTTATTACCATTTGAAACTGTAACAAGAAGTATTAACTAATTAATACCTGATCCAGTTAATATGGACCCTTTTACTGATGTCATGTTTTTTCACATCTGATGATTTATCATGCCCAATTTAGAAAATATGCTAAGTTTCATAACCTGAATGCAAGGAAAACTCATGAAAATAAGGGACTCCAAAGTTGCCAGTTTTTGCAAAGAATGGATGCCAGGGGGTAAGGGTTGCCCCCTGGCATACATTTTGTCACATGCCCTCTTAACTCATGTCAAATCTCTACACAATTTAGGCCCACTCCTGCCTGGAATACCAGTCATCACTTGTAGAGCATAATTAACAATATTGAGACTTTGCAGTAAGGACTTCTACTCCATTTGATCAATCTTAGTAATCCTTCTTCCACTTGAGAGATGCCTGTCATCAACTCCCACAAAACTATCAAACAGTAACTTATTTAAGCACTTGCCTTGAATAAACTGCATTTATCTCTCCACCAAAACACTCACGTAAGTAGCAGACAGTCCTTGCTATGATACTTGTGTAGTTAAATGAGATTGAGATAACATCTTGAGTAGTTGCCATTGTAACTTTTGACACATCCTTTACTAGTGGATCCCACTCCAACAACAGACCAGGCTCTTTTAGGATATTTATAACTTCCTGTGCAAAGTAAATAATAAATATTATCAATTGGATTACTCAACCTTGTCTTCAATGAGGGAATAGTCAATGAGTTGTAGCTAGCAACTTAGCTAGCTAATTCGGTTTGCAAGAGCCAAGAAAGTACTACTCAACATCATATTGATAAGTATAAACCTCATTTGCATTAATTTCAACACTCATTTACATCATTATACAACTACAGTTATACTTGACTACCTGTTTAATCAATAGACCTCATCAGTTGACAGCCATAGAATATAGCATATTTAATATTTTTAACACAAGAACTGCATTATCATGATTATACTGATTATCATACAGTTGAATCTAACCCGCTGGGACGCTGGAATGATTCCAGAACATCCATAAATTATTGCTGGTACCCAGGGGGGTGCAGTGCTTCCCAAGTTCTTTTGCCATACTCGTAAGCCACTGTCGACTCTGTTGAGATGCCAGCCTTTGGATGCAGTGGGTGGGACATGCTAAGAAACAGAAAACATTTGTTAACTTGTTGGCTGATCATGCATTTGAAAACCGACAACCTGACAGACCAATGGACCTTCTATCCACCCAACAGACCAGTTACCAAATGGGCCAATAGACCAGCTGACTGACTCACTGACAATAAATAATAGCCCGATTTTACACCTATTCTAAGGATCAGATGGCCTGCATACGTGAGCAATCAGAGAATCATCAAAATGACACATATCAACAGAATCGGAGATGAGATAAGAAGATGGTGTTGGACTTCGATTGGACATAAACTGTGTGGCGAAAGGTCCAGTGACTGCATGGTGGAGTTAAGGTCAAGACCAGAAGATAGAAGTGCAGTAGGAAGACCTAGAAAGACCTGGAGGAGGACAGTAGAGGAAGAGAGATGGCAGGAAGGATAGAATGACAGGAACACGGTGAGAGCGGTAGCCAGGGATAGGGGACAGTGAAATCAGAAAGTTATGGCCTTATGCGCCTACTGGTACAAAGAGCAGTGATGATGACAATGATGATGATGATGATGATGACAATGATGATGATGATGATGTAATTTTCCTTTCCTTATACAGACGAATCTATCCTTTGCCATTTTCACGAACTGTTGCACAAACAACAGTGAAATAGCAGAAAATGACATAATCACTAAAAAATGAGAGAATCATCAAGCAGACAATGACATAATCACTACATCCTCACTAGTGAGAATGTGGAAAATGCCCCACTCTGGTCCCAAATGAAGTTTCCTCTGAATTTTACTGGTGGTGTATTTTCCTGTAAAATTCTCATATCTTAAGGCATCTAATATAATAAGAGTATACATTGTGAGTGAGCCATAGCATGCTACACACAATAACTGGAGTGATGAGTTCTTAATAATTACACGCAAAGGACACTGGCATTTTCTGTAGAATATAAAACTGTTCAGTGAGTACTTGACATGTGAAATTCAAGGTCAAAATTTTGCTTATTTCAGTTCTCGTTGACATCAGCTGTACTGAATGCAATTAATATTTAAATATCCACATAACAAGGTTTCTTTGACACAAGCACTTCTTCTACATAAACACCAATTAAGAATAATTAGTTGAAAAAAACCCTATAAACTATTCCCGTTAAAATTGTTCGTTATAGCAATAACACGGCTTTGTCACCAAAATTATTAAGCAAAGAATGGGAAAATTTATGTACAATCAATTAAGCTTACAATCGATCACAAATGGTTACCGAGCTTACAAATTAAGCTTTTAATCCTGTAAACAGTCAGGATGGATGGCAATGTGGTAACAAAACATTTAAATCAAAGCACCTACCTTCTTTATGAATTTTACTTTATCCTGTGCAGATATTGAATCTTGAAGATTTCCCTGCGAAGTAATATTAAAGGATCAAAGCAGGCGAAAGTTGGTCACTACAAATTCTATAGAAATAATATGGGCTGCATGCTCAACTCAGCTGATCGTGTAATCTTTGATCGGCGAAAAAGTTGCCTCGAAATACAGTGCATGTGGTTTGAATTGACTCACCTTTCGAAAGAACAGCGCATAGGTGAAAAATGCAACTACTGCACTTATCAAGAAGACATAGAAAAGCCACAAAAGGGAGAACAT